GGAAGGAAGGAAGGAAGGAAGGAAGGAAGGAAGGAAGGAAGGAAGGAAGGAAGGAAGGAAGGAAGGAAGGAAGATAAATTCCATGCCCATAGTCCATGCACATTTCTTCTAATAGACACTTTTCCTAGAATTGCATATTTATACTGGTTCAAGAATTGGGAACTGCAGATTTAAATTTATACTCAGTAGAGATACTCAGTGAGTGACATTGGCAGAAGCTCCCTTGCCTCTTCCCCCCATGTTTTTTATGTGATTGCTTTGCCAATAACACAAGAGGATGAAAACTAGTCTAAATAATCTATTTCATTTATGCCTCACTTGATTCAGGGTAAGTCTTTCTAGAATTAAGTTGGCCATAAGCTAAAAAAATAGATTAGAACTGCAAAAATGGAAGTCTTGTATAGGGTCCTGGAGTTCACTAAGATGGGGAACAAACTGTTTAATGTGAAAGATGGGGAAAACTATATTGAAGTTTAGAGGAAATAATAGCCTTAGCTGCATTTAATTGGCTTAATTTACATTTAATTATACATTCAATCCAATTTACCTCACAGGTACCTGTGGGAACAAACTGACAGGAGGCCTTCAAAGAACAAAAGGGGTTATACATTACAGTGAATAAAGTGATGCATCTGAATTGCCTATGTATATGCACAAGTGTAAGGCGTGTACAAAATATTTTGATTTTGGAACAAGTCTTAGCTGCTATGAGTGAGGTTATTGTGTGTCCCCAAATCATAGGAGGCAACAGGCAACAGCAAATTGTTTGTTTGTTTTTAAGCCATATTGAACATTCAAAATTCAAAACAAAATGTGAGTACTGTCTTTTTGTTGTTGTTCTGTTTTCAGTGTCAGAAGAAAAATGGAACACAAAACTTGTGTTGCCCAAAACTTTCCAGTGTAGCTCAAAACAAACTGTTTCCCATATTGTGCACACCCTGAAAATTATGCCTAGGTCATATTAAACAGCTTCCTTTGTGTCCATGACCTGTATGAAATTGCAGGACCCAAGACGGTATATATCAATGAACTGCCCTTGAATATTGTTGGTTCTTCCTGGAACTGGAATTAGAGAGCAGAGATTAATAATATGATTCTGGGTATTCCTGCTGAAGCTTTTGACTGATGTGTATAAACAAATTGTGCCATAGATTGCTGCAGCCTTGATTATCACATCTTGTATTTTTGGGTTCTCCTGCATTTATTAGTAGTGGAAGATAAAGCACAGGAAATAAATGGGTAGAAAGAAAACACTAGGCTACTCTTAAGTGTTGTATCCTGTTCTGAGGCAATTCCTGATTTACACTGACAGCTTAACTCTTTAACTCCCAGCTGGACTTTTTTATGCTAATTCTTCACTTCATATAAGAGAAAAATCTTTTCATGTTCTTTGATCTAGGAAACCATCCCCCTTCCCCCAAAAATATGGTAGTCTTTTTTTTTTTAATGATTAAAATTCTCTTATGCATTTCTCAGGAAAATCAGGTGTGATTTTCTCTTGCAACGTGACTGATATTTATGACTAATTAAATATTATCTGTACTAAAGCAGCTTGTAGAAATGCACCATTTGGAGGGAGAAGCAATTATTTCTCCCCAGTTCTCAGATTTCTGTGTTTGAAGATCTGCTTATGTAGTTGCAGAAATGCAGATCTAAAAGGCAAGAGCTTCTTTTAAAGCCATTATGACCCGTAATGACTCTGTCGACATCTGTCTGAATTGGTCATTTCTGTCCTTATAGTAATGGTGCCACAAAGGAGGACAAATTCAAGGAATTGGATATGTTCCTGGCATTATTTTATGGCTTGGAGTGAATGGGAAAAAGTATTCAGTGGCTTACTGTGTTCAACTGCATTGCTGAATAAGTACAGTTAATTTTCACTGGGTGAGGTCACTGAGGTGCAAAAGCAGATTTTATGGATCAAATCTTCAGGTTAGATGGATAGCAAATTCATCATCTTTTTGTGAGGTACAAAAGAGCAGTAACTTGCATGTGAAAAGCATCTGTCCCCACATCATGGAGTTGAACAGGAGCTTTGATTGTACCCTAGCTCTGCAACGCATAACCAAAAGACAGAACTACACTCTCAACAGATGACCACTCAGCTTGTCTTTGTAAGATTTCCAGCAAAGAGAAAGCATCTGTGTGCAGCACCTGTTATCAAAATGGCAGGTAAGATTTTGACATCTGTATATAAATGTCTCTCCTGGCCTATCCCTTGGTATGCATGATGTGGGGCAAATCACATTCTTTGATTTAAACAGAATGAGATGGCTGAAATCCTGTATTGCATTTCATGTCTGTTTTAAGTTGTGCATTAAAAAAGTAGCTACAAAGGGAAGATTGGGAGATTTGGGCTTTAAAGTGGTGTGAAAAATGAATTGTAAGGAGGTAAGATAGTTTGGAAGTGCAGAATTTAAAGTCTTGCCTATTGTCTGATCAGATTCTCTTTCCTAGCAACACATTCAGTGGTACAGTTTACTACGTTAGTGAAAATATAGAAGTAACCATGTTTTTTTCAACCTCATAGGTAGCTTCGATTTTCCATTGTGTAAAAGACCTGGAAAATAATTAATCTCTTCTTTTTCTCTTTCTGATTCTTTCTTTCCCAAGAAGGTCTTAAGAGAGATCAGAACTGATCCCTTGCAGAGGGCCACCACAAATTTAAGCAGAGGATGACGTGGAGCTGTAAATGTGTAGATTGCCAACCCTGTCATAGGTGAAGAGTGAAAACGTGTCCTTTGCTTGAGTTACCACTGGCAAAGTGTCTTAGGCCAGCCCTGCCAAGTGACATTGCCCAACATCCTGTTTTTTCACTGCTCTTAGGCAGTAGAAATCCTGCAGAATAGGAGAAAAGGAGTAGAAGGCAATTAAATAGAATGGGACACCAACCATCAAATGAATTTTGCTGTTTGGGCCAGTTAACAAAGAATAATAGAAACCAGAATTCTGAATGACTTTGGCTTAGCAGAAATGAGGAAATGTCCTGGTGCAGGAGCTTCTGTGGGGGAGGGAGTCAAAAACATCAAGATAGCACATGCAGCTGTATGATCAGAGCCCTAACACACATAAAAAAAGAGGTGAGGTTTTGATCATATAGTCATGACTGCAATACTGAATTTATTTTTACCCTCGCTGCAGACCCTCTTCTACTGGAGCACACTGTCTAATTGTTTACATTGATTACTTATACCAACTAGAACAGGCAAAGAAACCAGGGAAGTTCCACTCTTATTTGTGTAATATGATAACCTAATTAGCCTTTTCACCAGCCAGAATCCAAGGGCAAAGCAGAATGAAAGTAGCTCTGTGTTAATTATGTATCTGTTATTTATAATGAATATTGGAGATCCTTGTGGATTGAAAGATAGTGTAAAAATAAGACTAATGGATAAATACTGATTGCTGTATCATTTGGCGGGGGGGGGGGGCTTGGAAAACGTGAAGTGACATGAATAGCCCAATTTGGAATCAAAAATAAATTCTGCTGTACTCAGTGAAGCATTCTCCCACTCAAAAATTACAAGTGTACAACCTAAAATGTGATCCTGGGTATGACTACTCAAAGTGAAGTTCAGATGAGTTCAGGAGAACATACTCTTTTACATGCTAAAGGTTAAAATAAATTGATGAATCATAATGAACAAGCTTCTTGTTTTATCTAAAATTGATATTTAGCATGCCCATCAAAGAATCAAAATGACGTGCCTCCTAGAGCCTAGGAGATTCTGGGATGTAAATAAGCATTCTGTTTTATGGGTCTAGTCAGAGAGGTTTTATTTCTGTTCTTATTAGCAAAATAATTGCTATTTGAAATGTGGTCTTCTGTTTGAAGAACCTCCTTATTTGTGGTTGCCATCATTATGACTTGTAAGCCTTTTGCTTTACTCTCCAAGAACCTTTCAAGGAGAGAGCACTGTTAAAAGAAATAGTGTACAAAGTAAACTTTAATAGATTGCCCTATTTTTAATTATTATTTTTTCAGCAGAAATTATGATGCTGTTAGTGATGGTATTTATTTCCAGGTAAGGAACTGCAGCAGACAGAACAATTAAAGCTTTCATTGACACTGACCCCTGAATACAAAGCTTTCTATAATTATTTTCAAACTCTCAGAAAAAGGCACCATTGTTCCAGAAAACATAGGAAAATAGTAGCCAGAAATTGACGTGGTTATGGAATAAAAACTTTAAAAGATAGTATTACCACCCTTGGACTTAAATCTTTAAGATGGGATAGATTAGCATGTACGTTCTCGGCATATTATATTTTGGCTTGGGTTTTAATTTTCTGTACACTGCCCAGAGCCACTGCTGTAAGATGAGGGCTATATAAATTGTTTAAATAAAACAATAAATAGAAGATAGGTTTTTTGAAGTGTTCATAAAGAACAGGGGTAAGCAGCTTGTGGCCTGTGTCAGCATTTGGTTATTCAGACCTAGTTTTCTGGCCTGCCAAGCCCCTTAGGACTGCACTGCTAAGATGATGTAGCAAGATGGCTAATTTCTGTAGCACAATTTATCACCCTGACAAAATAACAGCAAGACTACAGTACTTTTAAGCCCAACTTTCTCTAGTGATCCCCCCCAACATCTGTTATTTCCCTCATTTTTTAAAAAAAAAATGGTAAAACAAAAACCAGGCCCAAACAACCCAAATCCTTCCTAACAGCATGCAGTCTCTGTCCACGTTAACTGCATCCTGGCCAATGATAGAATAGTCATTGGGCGCCATTACAGAGTGAAGAACCTGGTGAAGTAATGCATACTGGGGAGATTGCATTAACTGATGGCACAATTAAAGCAGCGAATAAACTCTGGTGTCAAATTTGTGACATTACTGAGAGTAGGAGCTACATTCATTGTGGATTTTTAATGCAAAGTAATTGGTTTGCCATGGGCTGCTCTTTGAAATGAAGTAAGAGTGATATTAATTCACTTCACTTCATCCCATCCCACACTGTGGGTTAACCTAAGTGTGCACGAGCCTTTTTGGGTTATATTCAGAAAGAACATCTGAAGACACAAATGTTTATACAGTCACTTGGTGTGGAAATTGTAATTAAAACAGTCTTAATCCATGTCGGTAGATAAGTATGAGAAGATTTAGATGGCTATTTTAGTCATAATGTGGGACTGATCTCATCAAACACCCAATCATATGAACTCCTGGAGGAGGGAGAGATGGATGGAAATGCCTTGGAAACTTGCTTAAACTTTAGATCTTATACATTCAAACTTATTCACATTTCAAAAGTCACTGTTAGCATAAGACTCTGATTCTTTCTGTGAAACTCCAAGTTAAACTTTGGGCAGTTCAGTAGAAACTTTTTTTAACAATACCCTTACTCTACATCATGCATTATAGAATTCCAATAACAAGTGAAAGGTTTCTTCGCCCAAGGAGTTTTATTGGACAAAAGTGAAAGAGTGGTACAAAATAAGAAGTTAGGGCAGCAAAGATTTGATAAATAAATAAACCCAGTAGGGAATATGTTTTTGTTTAGATGCCCTTTCCTTTTCCTTTTGAACAAAGAAGCAAAAATAGTAACAGCAGAAAGGGTAAAAGCAAAAAATTCAAATATCAAACTCCTCTGCCGATAATGTCTGATCTGAAGTATATAATTGCATAAATACCTTATTATGCCAGGACTGTATACTTTATGAAACTTTAATTTTTTTTAAAAAGTTTCTGATCCAGTTTTTTTTAAAAAAACAACAACTAAAAATCGTGATTTTTAAAGTCACCAGCATTGACTCCTCATCACTTTCTAATTTATTTTTATGTTAGAACTACAAGATTTGGGCTGCATAAATTCAGGCAGCCACTAGATGTCAGCAAAGAGGTTTTTCTGTATCTCTTTGCTGACATCTAGAGGTTGTGCAGATTTGTGCAGCCTGCATCTGGTAGTCCTATTGGTGTGCACAAGTCAAAGGGATAATTTTGACTTTTAATGCTCAAAACCCAACATGTTCAAATTGCCACCTTCCTAACAGTAACAGCTGGTTTTCCTCTGGTGATTATTAACATAAGGTTCTTTTTCATAGGGGAATACTGAAAACTTTTTTTGTGCCCATGTCCCCCCCCACCCCCAGTTTTTAATGAACAGAAATAGCTTTAATATATGGCCCAACGCAGACATGAAACTGTAATTACAATAAAATTACATGGGAGGGAGGGAATTCCGGTAGTTACCATCTGTTTTCTTGTCCATCTTGAACGGCGACTTCCTGATTCATTAACTACAATTGCGTGTGATTCTTAAACCAGGGAATTCTTGTTTAAGGTGTTGCCTAGAAACCAAGACTGCAGATCAGTGAACTGATGAGATCCCAAGGGATATAATGGTCCTTTTTCTAGGTTGGCATTACCTCTTGTATTTATTTTGTCTGTCTGTCTACCAGGGGAGTGTATCAACAAAAAATTGGCAATTTTCAAATGATGCAAATTTAGAATCAATTAAGATTTTAGAGTGTTTGTTTTGATACATAATTTAAGAAGAAATACAGTACATTTCAGCAAGGTGAAAAAGACTGGAGCTAAGGTGAGCCATGAGTCTGCTTATTGTGCTTCCCCATGTTGTAACTCTACAGCAAACTCTCTCAACCAGATCCAGACTGAACAATCTTTTCTCTGAGATGCAATTCATTTACAGGATATTGCCATCTTCACTGAGTCAGAAGAATCCTGTATCTTTAGTAGATTGACAGCAATAAGATGTTTGAATATTGTGCCCATGTACAGTATATCATTGTACCATTGCTGTGGGGTATGGATAGACAACATTTGGTATCTTTGAGCCACATTTAAATTCTGTGAGGCTCCAGGGCTGCTGTGCACACCTAGCTGAGGGGTGATCTCATAAGCTAAATGGGTGGATTTGGATAGAGCTTGGATAGGAGAGCAGCAGGAAATCCCAGAGCTGGGATTAGACAGTCAAAAATGATGATTTCTGTTGTGTTGCCCAGAAAACAATATGGAAATCATCAGAGTTAAGCTTGACTCAAAGGTGATTTGATTTTGGACTACTGAATGTGGGGTAATCATAAAAAGTTATCAGGGCCTGGTTACACAAGAGGGCAGGGCCAAGATTCATTTCCTTGGGGGATGGAGAGAGTTGTGGTAGTAGTTGTTATCATTGCCACAACAAACCCATTCTAAGGTATTTTGTATACTTCTTGTTTCAAAATGTTAGAAAACAGCATCACTGATTTTTGGCATTATGTTAAGAAAAGTCTCAGAGAAAGAAAAAGATGTTTTAAGAGCCAACATGTATACCTTGGCCATCAGAAGCAGAGAAATTGTCTTTGTACAGTTTTCCGCATCATTCAACAATATTAGTATTGGGACCTCTTAAAAATTATTAGAAATTCAGCTCAGGGCATTTAAGGATCCTTTTTTAGTCTAGGGAATTATGAAGCAAATCCACTGCAAAGATGAAGTCTCTTCAGCTAAGCCAGGGAAATTGGGGGCGGGGGGGAATAAGACATAAGTTCACAAACATTGTACAGAAGTGCTAACTCTTCTACCTTGGGACAAGATTAATGAGGCTAGTCTGCTTGGCAGCCCTGCAGTTTACATGGTAATAGAAAATAGACTTCCTTGAAGGAAGAAAATCTATTGCCAAACGAGCAGGGAATGTTTATCAGCCTCTGTAAATTGCAGAAGAGACAACACAAAATGATGTCAGTGGCAAATTGTGCAGGAAATTTATTTATCTTACTTATTCCTATGCTTTTTACTCTGTTCTAGCTCTGTCAGGCATGGATGATGTAACATGCTCATAATCAGCAATCCACCCACCACTCCACAAATAACGTCCCCCTCTAAAATCTTGTCCAGTACCAATACGGATCCAGGGAATGTGTTTCCTGAAAACGTCCCTCTGGGGTAGCTTCTCCACCCCTCAGTTCTGATCCACATGGTTATGGTTATGTGAAATAAGTCATTGCAGACTAGAAAGCTTAGTTATTCTGTTGAGAAACATTGTGCTACAGACTTTGGAGAATTTGCAATGAATTTGTAATTTTTAAATGCATAAGTGTCATACTGTATGCTCTCTGTATGTTGAAGCTGAACATCAAATTCTGGCCAAATAGGTTTTACTCAATAAGCACTTGGAGAGGTTTGGGTTTTCTTTTTCGATTAGTTTCCATTGGCTTCTGAACCTGAAGAGTCACAACTCCTGAGGTAGTTTGGGGCCTTTGGGCTCCTTTTCCCATCCCCCGTTTTTTGTATCACTGATCTTGAGAAAGAGTCATGGAAAACTAAAAAGTTCATTTTGTGGCATTTTGTTTGTTCCTCACAATAATGCTGTCCCACTTCCACAAAGGAAGTAACCTTTGGTGCTCCAAGGAAGCGCCTTTGAGAGGCCCTACAAACTCTACTCCAAATACTTCCTGGGATGTATCATCAGTCAAAAAACACAAGCCAAATCTTACTCTAGTCTAGTTAGTCTTCCAATCTAATAAGAATTAGTAGTGGCTGAGACCAAAAAAGCATTCAGAATATAGAACTGTGCTTGAAAAAAGGTAATCCCAAGAATTTATTTCTGAACAGGAAGGCTAATCATCATCCTTTCAAGAATTACAAGTAGTATTCTTGTTGATCATTTTCCTTGTTGTACTCTTTACCAGTCATAAGCAATTGCTGTAGCAAACACTTGACCATCTGGCTTTTCTGTTGAGAATACGCATAATAACACCCAGCATTAAACTCTGCATTGCTGAAACAGTGTTACTACTAACCAAACCTTTGGTTGCAGCTGGAAAGGAAGGAGATGACCATAAAGACGTGTAGCTGCCACTGGACCCATGACAGATTTTCCTCATACTGCTTTTTCCTTATCAAGACCATATTTAAGTCTACCTATCATTTCTTTGCCCAAATTAAATCATATAATGCTCATGCCACACTATGACCAAAACTTTCTTTTGAAACTTGAAAAAAAAATCCTTGGGTTGTTTACACTTATCCCCAACATTATTGTAAAGAAAAGTTTGGATTATTGTTTGACAACCTCCATTGGCTCCAGAAATCAAGGCTGGGTGAGACCTCGTGAAGAAACTAGAAGGCGACCCATACTTGGTTTCAGGAGCTGTGAGGATATATTCATCTCAGGAAGCAGATTGTTTGAGCTATCCATTGCTTAATGTCTCAGTGGTCTATGCAACTAATCTGGAGTTGTTTGAGTTTAATTCTTTCCCATTTCATCTCTCCTTTTTCCCATTCCCATTGCTATGCCTTCTTTTATCAATGAACATGGTTCATACATTGGGCTAGCAATATTTTTAAGATTAAGGAAATGGTGTTAAATGTTAATTAGCAAATGTGCATTTCTAGGCAGCATCTGCTAACATGCCCTTATCAAAAATTAATGAGTGTCGCATGTGCAAATCAACTAAAAAAATTAGCTGTCATAACCAAGCACTTCAATTTTCACACTCTTCTTGTTTGGTAGGATGGAGATGCTATATTTGTTTTTAATCTACATTAATTGCTATAGTAAAACTGTGAGTTATGCTGGTTTAGATGAAAAGGACATTTGGTTCTTTGTGTTTTACTTGAACCCTAAGATTGACAGCTATCTGCAAAAGAGATGCTAAGGGGTAAAATCAGGGTACCTCTGAGCAACGATTGAGGACCAGAACTCAGTTGAACTTGTAGACCTTCCATCCAAAAATAAATTCTTAGTTGTCCCACGTTTTCTTCATTGTAGCAGTTTATGGTAGGGGAGAGGTTCATTTCATTATTGCCTTTCAAAAATGGGGTATTAGAAATTGCTCCCAATCATTCAGAGTAACAGTGGAGCAAGTTTCCACCATACACTTTGGGACTATGACTCCTTCCGCCATGCTTTCTGAGAATTCTGGGAAATGTTGGAGTCTTCTACCATTTGGTTTAACTGAATGATTACCAAATTCTAACAGGGATGCAGAAGAGACATTCCTTTGTACTCACTTTCTCTGGGCCATGCCTTTACCTCTCATTTACTGCAAATGCTACACACGTGGCTATTCTTGGAAGTTATCTGCCTCAAAATGCAGCAGCCCAGCTACTAACAGGGAGCACCAGATGGGGTACCATTACATTAGAGTTCTGATTGCTACATGGGCTGCTGAAAGGCTTCCAGGCCCAATTCAGGGTTCTGGTTTTAGTCTAGAAAGACCTATTTGGTCAGCACTGTCTCGCCTGCCCATCCTGAGAAGGGCTGCTAATAGTCCCCACCTCTAATAAGGTGAAAGGAGTGGGGGGAAAGATTTTCTTGTGGTAGCCCCCATGTTATGGAACACCTTGCCCTCTAAGTTACTCTAATGGTATGTGGGAATGATCTCGGGAGGCAGGAGGAAGAGCTACAGACTGGACAACAGGCATGCAAAAGATTTCTCAACCCACAGAAGGAGAGGAGGTGTGGGAACATTTCAGAAGGGACCCTCCCTAGTTTTCCAGACAGTAAAAGGAGAGGCAGGGAGAAATTCTTTCAGTCTTGCAAAATTGATGTTAGCCCTTTGAGGTAGTCCAGACAAGAAGCACCAACCATGAGTATTAACTCAATCTTTATTGTAAGGCTACATTAACAGAAATCTTCTGCATGCCAGTTGTCCAGTCTGCCGCTCTTCCTCCTGTCTCCCAAGGTCATTCCCACATATCATTACAGCTACACTGGGTCCCAACCCTGCTTCCTTTTTGCACAGTAGTAAGAATGATCCCATCTTGTGGTTCAGATGGTGGATCTCGGCTGTCTTCATAAATTGTTTCTTTGGAAATGATTTTTTTTAAGTGAACCTTACTGCTTTTATTTGTGCTATATGTAACCCACCTTGAATCTGTCAGTAAACAACATATTCATGCATGTTTCTAGTATGTTCCCTAATGCTCTAATTAGAACCATCACCCCCTGCCCACCAAAATAGCTTTTCTCTTGCAGAAATTACTTCAGCCCCTGGTTTGTTTGTTTTTTTGGTATTTAATTTGTTTATTCCTTGGTCCTGTGTTTTATGTTTTACAGCAGAGATATACAATTTGCATCTGTATGCCAGAAAACAGCTCACACTTCTGGAAAATACGAGCTGCCTTTCTTGGTTGTGTGGAGAAAGAGAAGAAGGAAGAAAAAGAAAACAGAAGAGAGAAAAGAAAGTAACAGATTGGGAGGTATCTGAAAAAAGTTGGATAGTTGCCTGGTCCATTTTTGGCTCTGGCTTCCAACACCATTGGCAGGTGACATCCAAATTGTGTTCTCATGGGGTAGTGAGGGAGAGATACAACTCTCAACAGAGAAACTGTTGTGCATTCCTCTTTTAGAGGTGATGAAAAAGAAGCTAAACATGAGAAGCTGTGCCTCCTTCTTCTTTTCTACGTCATAGCCCAGAAACACATACCTTCATCGTTTCATACATAATGGAGCATAAGAACATCTCAGGATATGCTGGGCTATTAGAAAGGTTGGTAAGCACTTGTCTTCTGTCTCTCCCCACCCCCACTTCATCCACTTATCTTCTACCCTCCTTTTCACCTCTGCAAGAAAGAGAAAACTGAACAGCTCCCTCCTTTCTGATTGCAGTTCCCAAGAGCGAGAGATGATAAGTAGGGTTTGCTAAATAGTTTAGCAGAGGAGGAAATGTGATGATTCTAATATGTCAGTCAGGCTGACATTAAGATTGCAGTTCTAAATATGCTGGAATGAATATCCCCCCCCCCTTCTCTCTCTGGGTTCTGGCTGCCTAACGATAAGCAAATTTTGATCATGCTGGAAAATAAAAACATAAACCTCACTTCCTCATATTTAGTTATCTAGTTATTTTATTTAATGAAATGTATACTCCATTCTCCTCCAAAGACTTCAAGTTGCGGCATTTCTGATAAGGCTCATCCCAGACGCTCCCAGCAGGTAACTAAAGTCAAGCCAGATAATTAGCTTTTCACAGGATTGTCTGTTTTGTCCCCTTTGAACCTGAAGGCAGGATCCCAGTAGTAACTTCCATTCTCTCCTAGCCTCACTCAACCTTCACTGAGGTGATATGAAGCCTGTCCTCATGACTGTTATTTTGACACAATGATGGTTGGTTGATGACACAAGAATCACTATTAGTGGGGATGCTGCCAAAGACTGCCAACAACTTCATGAGGGAAAACATTGAAGTTGAATTACAAGAAGGCAGAATTGTTGGTTCTGGGAGCTAGACTTTAAGATATGCCCACTCCTTCTTAAAAAACAGGCTTTTGGTATGAACATCTGTAGCAAGAGGATGTGCCTACCAGCTTCAGCTGATAAATCAAATGTACCTTTCCTGAAAGAGAGAAATCTGGCATTGATGTGATAAAGGCACTGGGAAGCTCAAGAAGAAATTGATTGCAATGAGGCTTTGTGCAACAATGCTTGAAGATAGTCTGGAAAGCACAGCTGTGGCCATATGGATGGTGAATGGCATCTCTTGGCAGTGCTGTATCACCCTTTCATTGAAACCTTTGTACCGGTTGCTTTCTGAACCCAATTCAAGGTGTTCACTTTGGTATGAAAAGCCATGAGTGGTTTAAGTCTAGGTTGCCTCAGTGTCAGGTATTCAACTGGGACACTTTTTACAAGTCCTGTTATACAGTCAGGTCCAGAAATATTGGGACATCGACACAATTCTAACATCTTTGGCTCTATACACCACCACAATGGATAGGTGAACGGTGTAGGAATTACAACAGTTTGCATATGTGCCTCCCACTTGTTAAGGGACCAAAAGTAATGGGACAGAATAATAAGGTGAACGGTGTAGGAATTACAACAGTTTGCATATGTGCCTCCCACTTGTTAAGGGACCAAAAGTAATGGGACAGAATAATAAGGTGAACGGTGTAGGAATTACAACAGTTTGCATATGTGCCTCCCACTTGTTAAGGGACCAAAAGTAATGGGACAGAATAATAAGGTGAACGGTGTAGGAATTACAACAGTTTGCATATGTGCCTCCCACTTGTTAAGGGACCAAAAGTAATGGGACAGAATAATAAGGTGAACGGTGTAGGAATTACAACAGTTTGCATATGTGCCTCCCACTTGTTAAGGGACCAAAAGTAATGGGACAGAATAATAAGGTGAACGGTGTAGGAATTACAACAGTTTGCATATGTGCCTCCCACTTGTTAAGGGACCAAAAGTAATGGGACAGAATAATAAGGTGAACGGTGTAGGAATTACAACAGTTTGCATATGTGCCTCCCACTTGTTAAGGGACCAAAAGTAATGGGACAGAATAATAAGGTGAACGGTGTAGGAATTACAACAGTTTGCATATGTGCCTCCCACTTGTTAAGGGACCAAAAGTAATGGGACAGAATAATATGTTTCATTCCAAATCCATTGTGGTGGTGTATAGAGCCAAAGATGTTAGAATTGTGTCGATGTCCCAATATTTCTGGACCTGACTGTAGATGTGTCTGAAGTAAATAATGAATTCGTGTTTCTTACAATTGGAGGAGGGGAGGTAGTTACTCTTACTTAAAGGGTACTTCAGTTATTATTTTTGTGTTTTGTATCTGTTATGGTTCCTTTAAAGTAGTAGTACCTGAAGTTAATGAGACCTTACACATATATAGCTATGCACTGCCACTATAGCTAAAGGGAAAATTCAGATTCTACTTTTCAGTGCAGGAATTTAGATCTATCCTTTTAAATTTTGGAGAAAAAAAAAAGAATTAACTAGGGCAGATCTGGAACTTCAACTGAAGTATAATTTCCAAATAGCTTTTTGCAAATGACATTGATTCATTGCAATATAGTTTACTTGCCAAAGTTTCCACTGTTCATCTGTCATTTCCATTATCTCTTGACATCCCAATGTCTTTGACAAACGGGAAATAATTTTTACTGGCTTCATTAATGACTTTAGTAAAAGTTACATTTTTTCTTAATTCCATAATTATAGGTAGGGAGGGGCTTCTTCTTTTGACTAGTATTTTAGAACATAATCAGTACGTTCAATGGGCATGATTCCTTGGGTAGGAAAAGAAAATCACAACAAAGTGTTTCATAGAAAATCTGCAAAAAGCAACAGTTTTCTGTACAAGCTAATTCTAAAACTGCATAAACATTGAGACTCGGAAGTAAATGTTAATGTTTTTACTGAACCATCTTCTCAGATAAATCTGAGTGAATTCAATGGAACGGATGTATTGGAGAATTCCACAGGCAAGGATGGGAAAATATGTCTCTCTTATTCCATTTCTCATTGTTTTCAATGTATTGTTGTTTCTCTTTCCTCTAATTTCAACAGTTGCTTTATTTATGATCTGTATGAAAAGTTGTATGCATTTCTCCAAGGAGAATATTTTTTGGTACATGGTATTATCTAATGGTAAATATTTTGCAAGCAGTTTTTTTCCTAATAAAATGCACATTGTGTGTGTGTGTGTGTGTAGGTGTTTATTTGCAAGCTTCCCTGGAAACTAAGCATTGTTTGTTGAAGAGCTACTTCGTGACACTCAAACAAGTTTAAACCTCAAATCATAATGTGACCCAGTTCACATACCTAGGAAAGGTGTGTTAAATAAATTTGCATTAAAAGGCAAACCAAATAAATTTCTTTCCCACCCAGACTTCCAGGTAAATATGCAATATTTCTAATGCTTGCTAACCATGTACGTACCAGCCCATTGATTATCCTGATGTTATGATTGGCTGCAAGTGCCTTGCTAAAAAGGAACGGGATTAATTTACATACACATGCAAAGCCCTGCACGTGTAATCTCACTGTTGATAAATACTTAATTGATAAAATGTCTGTGTGTGTCAAATCAGATAACAGTTGAATACCTTTCTTCTATCTGTGTAGGTAATTTGAAGATGTTGGACTGGATAATAAACACTGTGATTCTTTTAGAACACTAATGGGTAGAGACAGAATATTTTTTTTCTAATTTTTAAGAAGCTGCCATCTCTCTCTTAGGTATTGATTTTACTTTAATTCAGAAGTGGAAACTGTGGCACTCCAGTTCAACAACCCCGTCCAGGAACTCCAGCCAGCTCTGCCAATAGTAGGGAATGTTGGGAGTTGTAGTTCAGCAACAACTTGAGTGCCCCCTCTTCCCTACAATTGATTTAGCAAAAACATCATTTCTCCCATTTTCAATTCCTTTAAAATCAGTGGGCAGATTTTTTTTTAACTTTGGATAGGCAGTACTATATCTTCTTGGATATTTCAAATTTGAATAACTAAAAATTCCTCTTTTGGTGTCTTAGGACTGATTTTGAAAAAATTGGAAAAAATTATAAACGTCCATATAACTTATCTTGAGATGTCTAAATCAAGTAGGCTTACAAGATCTACTTCATTTCTAACTAAAATCCTGATACCCTTTATCCATATTAAGATAAAGAATATTTGAAGGCAAAGATTGGAAACAAGGGATTTGCTTTAAATGTCCAAATTGAACAAAACTCAATGGGCCTTGATCCACAATTGTTACTGGCATGGCATTTGCTGCCCTAACTGCTGATCCTTATCCTGCATTTATTGCCTCTGTTCCTAATCATTTTCAATTTTCTTCCAAGGGAATCGACATTAGGTGAATTCTACCCTCTTTGAGACTTCTCTTCCATAGTATTGGAAAAGAACAGAAAATACTATTTTAACACTGGTACAGTTAAGATGACTTAAGTCTGTCTGGGGCTGGGGATGAGATGAATGTAATGTCATGGGGACATAACAGAAAATGTTGCCAGAGTATATTGTATCAAATTGTTGGGTTTCAGTTAGTGATTGAAAATGTCCAACCTAACTTCAGTGATTTATCTAAACAAGAGAGCAGGAATGCAGAGAATGTAAACAACAATCCTTCTTCAATAGATTCTTCCAGAACTCATACAAGAAGAAATCTAAGAGTTCTCTCTGTAGAGGGTGGGACTGTAAAAAATGTGAAAGGTTTGAAATATGGCTCATTGTAAATTCTAACTTTCCTGATCACTCAGCTGTCTTACAGCCACTGTTCTTGAAACACAATATCATTTCTAGCCGTGTTTGTTCAAGAAGCTGTGGAGCCTTCTGACTAGTTCACCATTGTTTGGGGGGAGTCTGACAGTGGTTGGGTTTGACTGGAGACTTGGCTATAGATCCTCCACAAAGTTCCACTTCTGGTTATAATAGGTTTTCTTAATTTCAGCAGTATAAGTTTGAGCAGGGAGAAGAAAATAAGTGTATTGTTGCTATGATCAGGGAATTGTGAATGGTTGCTGATCTAATCCCCCAGCCATCCATCAGTTGATAAAGACAGATCTGTCTCCTGACCATCTCTATTTAAATTACAAAAGTTGGGTCCTTCTTTTTGCATTGTGTTTATAGCAGGCAGATACTTTGATGTCTGTAATGTCTGTAGCCTTGGTGGATTTTCAAGTGATGTTCTATTTTGATGCAGTACAGTTTACAAGCTGTTATGCTTTTGAAGGTGCGATTTACTAAGATAATTACAGGTGAGGCCACTATTGGATTCACAGTGATGAGATCCAAAATGGATTATTGAGGGTTTTAATTCAGCCATCACAATTAATTGGCAGCATTTAAGAGGCTGGCAAGGTTTCTTTGATTGCTTTCTGCAGGATTTCACTTTAAATCTTCATCTCCTGTCCCAATTTCAAAGGGCCAAGGATTTTGGAATTCTTTAAGATTACAGATGCTATGAGAAAAATTAGCTGGGTAAAACTGTCATGGACTAGGTTCCCCCTCCTGCCAAAAAAGGGGGGCATTAAATATGTTGTTCTGTGTCTTACTTTATGGAATAATAGATAGTTCTTAACTGTCTTTTTTCTGATATTCTTTCAAGTATTTAAAGGATGCTGTAATACCCTAAAGAGCCAGTCTGGTATAGTGGTTAAGGCATCAGGCTAGAACTAGGAGACTGTGAGTTCTAGTCCTGCCTTGGACACAAACCAACTTGGTGACTTTGGGTCAACCACTTTTTCTCAGACTGAGGAAGCAGGCAATGGCAAACCACTTCCAAAAAACCTGAACAAGAAAACTTCAGGGACATGTCCAGATAGTTGCCAGGATTCAAAGACACAAAATAACAACAACAACAACAGGAGCCTTGGGTGCAATCCCAAAACATCTGGAGCACCACTTGAAGACCATCGGCATTGACAAAATCACCATCAGTCAGTTGCAAAAGGCACCTTTACTTGGAACAGTGTACATCCTGTGACAATACCTTTAACACCATCAGACAAGAACATCTGCATACAGTTATACCTGTACCAAGGAAAGTCGGAAGCTACTTTTTCCTTTCTATGTCTTTTTTTCTTTTTTTCCTGATTTTTTTGTATTTTAACCTCTTTTTTAAAAAAAAATATAATAAAATTTATTCTTAGAAAAAACAACATCTGCCTATCCCAGGTCCTTGGGAAGGA